TTTTGGTGCCAAAATACTTTGTAGTGCTCATCATAATGTTTGCATAAGAAAGATTGTGCTAACTGCTACAATTTAAATCATAAGTTTTATGTAAATTTTTGGAATAGTGCAAACGTTATTCTGAAAGCAACTGGTTTTGTTTTTTTTCTTTAAGGTATGCAGGAAAAATTTGTCAAAGACTTTGAGGTATCTCCAGATGGGTCATTCCTTCTTTTTACTGGGACCTCAGGTTATATTCACTTGCTGTCAATGAAGGTAACGTCTTCATATTTGTCCATAATAGGGCTTCAGTCCCAGGGGGTTGCATTATCCTGTCAAGAACTCCTGACCATCTAGCCCTTCTCATAATAGTGTGGCTGTGGGCAGGTGGGCTCTCCTTGGTAGGAGAGAGGCTGAAAAATGTGACCTGAAGCATCTCTAGCTTTCAGAAGCCTTTTGCTTTTGCATCTGCTTATGTTGAATTTGAATCTCTTTTGTAATTCCTTTCTGAAGCTGTAACTCTTTTCTTAAAGAAAAGGGTTCCGGATAGCATTGTGTAGGGGTAGGGGCTTGGTTTGGGTTTTTTTGTTTTGTGTTTTGGGGTTTTTTTGTTTTTGTTTTTGTTTTTTTTTTCATTTAGTAGCGTTTAAGGCTGGTAGTGAAACTAGTTTAGCTTATCTGGTTCATAATGAATAGATAAAATTCTCATCTTGGTAAATGTCCCATCAATATGATTGTGGTGGAAAGCTTGAGTCTAGTTCCTAATTGTGGGGTGGGGAGAAGTAGTAGCACAGAAACTAACTGCTGTGTTCAACACTTATTGGCTGTCATAGTCAGTGGAGGTATTGCCCAGGTTGGTAGGTAATGGAGACTGAGGTATGCTTATTGCACTAACGTGCCTGATGTACTTCAAAATTGTGCAGGAGAACAGAACAAAGCATTAATCAAAGTAAATTCTAGGTGACTGTTCTCATGCCAGATTTTGAGTTCATTTTTTAAAGAACCATACTTCTGGAGGATGAGGGGGGACAGAAATAACGTGTAACCTACAGTGTTTGTCAAAGGAGTGTTGATGAGTTATTTCGGTATCTTATGCATTTGAATGTCATGCAAAATTGTCATGGCACTTTTTCACTTCAGATGTAAAGCATCCCCTTAATATTAGATATTAAGCCACAAATTTCATATTTGCAGCCAACCAGAAAGAGATGAAGGCGGTGAAATCCTCAGTCAAATGAGGTTGAAAAAAAATAAGTAGGCATGCTTGGGTTTAAATGTTGAATATTTCTTGAAACATTAATACACAACTACCTCATTTTTATAGTCTTATTAAATTGAAAATGTGTCTCTTTTTTTGTCGATGTCCTCTTTGTTCTTGAATATCTGACAACCCTTTCTCAGGAGTTATTACTTTTGTCCTTTTTTAAAAGTAAATTTTGGAAGAAATAGCAGCTGAAGATCAGTGCCTTGATCATAACTTAAGTAAAAGTACTTGTGGTTTGCCTGCTTTAGGAGAGAAGTGTTTTTGAAAGTACAAGAAACTTTTATTCAGAGAGAATCCATAATAGGCAGCAGTACCAGCAATGTTCTAATATGGGTATTGTAGCCTACATGTAGAAAGCCAAGTCTGTTTGGAAAAATGTGGGTAGATCTTGAGATGGGGATGTGCTTTAGTTGGAGGTTTTTTAACCACCTACAGCCCCGATCCTGCAACTCTACCTGCCCTTGTTCACCAAGAGGAGTAACAGCAGGATGTAAGCCCTAATGTGAATTTGATGTCCAGTTAGACGCATCAGAAACCTGATGTACTTGATAACACTTTTCCAATAGACACATAGCTTTTCTAAGAGGGGATAGGAGTCTACTAGCAGTAGAACAGCAACACATTTGTGTTCCAGAAGTCATGCAGATCTGAGTCATCCGTGCTCTGCTGAACACTCATTCTTCATTTAAGTATTACTCTTCACTCCTAGACAATGGAACTGATTGGCAGTATGAAGATAAATGGAAGAGCTGTTGCATCAAACTTCACTCCTGATGGCAGCAAAATTTATACAAATTCTGGTAAGCTATTCATGCTTCTTTCAGCATCATATTTTTATGCTTAATAACGCTACAATTCATGGGCATTTTTTTTTTTTTATAACAGTGCCCATTTGAAAAAGCACTTTTAAAACACAATTACAAATTACACTTTTTGCACAGATTCTAATTTGCTGGTTCTAATTTTTCTTTGCATTTGCATTACTTGCTTTTGCCAACTACTAGGAAAAATATCAAGGAAGATTAACAGGAAGTGTTAAATGACATATACAAATGCACAGCACAGTAGTTAAGATGCTTAACAGCCATGTGCTACTTGTAGATTTATAGAGTAAAAATTCTAGTTTCACCAAAATGGCACCATAAAAAGTGCACGGCACCAGCTTCCTGCTTGGATCACGTGCTCTGAACCACAATGCCTTGCTGTCCTGAATTGTTACTTCTGTATACAAACTGTAGATTACCACCAGAATTTTTTCCAGTGAACTACTGGTTAGTTGCCATTCACAAGGGAAAAGAGTCCTGCCATATAAAACAGATGTAAGAACATGATTTTAACAAAGCTTTCAGTGTTTCACCTTTCTGCTAGAAGTTCTGCATAGCGTAGGTATGTTCAACAGTTCCCTTTTTGTTTAGAATAACTCTCAGCTGCTCATTATTTTAGCTGATCCTTTCCTGTCTTGAGTGTAGTCTGACATTGTGTTGCTATTGGTAACCTTGGATTAGAAAGCAAAACAAATACAGTTTGTTGTACATGTGAGACTAACATCTCAGCAAGATGCTAATCTTCCACAAAAGTGGAATCAATTGTGGATAGCCTGAGGGAGTTGCTGAAAGCAGTAGTACTAAAGGTCTAATGTGGTGGTATCTCAACTTTCTGTAGTGTAGAGGTACCCAAACTTTTTCTTATTGTGTGTACCCCCTTCCAGATTTACCAGCTGTCAGCATGCCCCTACCAGCATACCTTTTATATTTTAACCCCTTAAATGCCAATTATAAGGAATATTAAATCTGCCATTACACAACTTCTCCTCCTACCTGCCCAGAGATGTCTTGTGTACCTGCAGGGTACACGTACCGCAATTTGGGAACCCCTGCTGTAGTGCTTTCATGCCAGCCAGTAGGCCTGTGAGAAATGGATAGTATTTGCTTTGCATTTGGATTCGGCCAACTTGGGGGACAGTGATTTGATTTGGTGATTCAAATCGCTGCCCTGAATCAATTTGGCCAAATCTCTGAAGCGAACAGGCCTCATCCCCTGCCCGCTCTCCCAGCCCTGTCAATGGTTGCCTCAACTGGCCCCAGTGTCCTGGCCCTTTTTTTTTTTTTTTTTTAAATCTCCTCCAAATCGAATCAGCAACTGAAGCTTCACACAGCCCTACTAGCTAGCTTCAGATTGAAAAGAGTATTAAATTTGAACATTTTAGCTGTACTGCAGAATTTTGAGGTAGCTTGAAACCTATCTTGCATTCAGGTACATAGAGACACTACTTGGAGTACAACTATCTTAAGCAACATCTCCAAGGGCAGAATTCTTACTGGGATTCAATACTGGTAGCAAAAATTGTATTACTGTTTAAAAGAATATAAAGACAGTAATGGGTATTTTCTTCAAAGGCTCCTCTTCTTGTGACTGTTCTCCATGGAACAGAGTAGACAGTGTTAATCGGGTTAAAGCTGAAGCCATTTTTGCTTTATTTGTATAGCTACAGACTTGCACAGATGTGACAGTTGCATTTCTTCAGCTTCTTT